CGTCCCCACCATTTTCCCATTAGTGCTAAATTGAAACTCCTCATGTCCTTCACCCCGAGCCCACCCCACTCCTTATTTTTACAAACCCTCCCCCAGCTTACCCAATTTATTTTCCTTCCTTCCCCTTCTCCCCCCCATAAAAAATTTCTACGCAATTTATCAATGGATTTGAGAATACCTGAGGGAATTCGGTATATCGACATCAGGAAGACGGGCAGACTAGACAGTACAGAATTAATGAGCATGATCCGGCCTCCGAAAGAGAGATATTGTCCTTTCCAGCTAGATAGCTTCCTTGTAAATGATCGTAACAGTGGCTGCCACATTGCTAACCGTCTATGATTCCCCCCAATCGGAACTCCCAGGTATTTAAAAGGAAATTTTCCCTTTTTGCAGCATAAAATGCAAGCCATTCTGTCCTTCCAGTCATTATCCACCTCCACACCCATCAGTTGACTCTTCCCAAAATTGATTTTCAACCCTGACGCCATTTCAAAGATTCTCATGATGCATTTAACCACCCTTATGTTGTCTTCTGTTGCCTCTCCGAAGAAAATAGTATCATCTGCAAATTGTAGGTGGGACACTATTGTTGCTCCGTTGCCAATCCTCACTCCCTTGTAAAGCTCCTTCTCAACCGCAGAAGACATTAGTCCATTTAGACCCTCCGCCACAATTAGGAACAAGAAAGGAGATAGTGGGTCACCTTGTCTTAACCCTTTGCCAACACGAAATTGTCTTGTCGGGCTTCCGTTGATGAGGACCGAGATCATGCTTGACTGTAAGCATTCTTGAATCCATCCCCTCCAAATGATATTAAATCCCAATCTAGACAGCATGTAATCAATGAATTCCCAACACACCTTGTCGAATGCTTTTTCGAAATCGACTTTGAATAAAAAGCTTTCCATCTTCTTCTTTTTCGCCTCGTCTATTACCTCATTTGCTATGACTACTCCATCCATCAGCTGTCTCCCTTCAATGAAAGCCATTTGCTGTTCTCCGATCACCCCATCCAGCACTTTTCGAAGGCGATTTGCTAACAGCTTTGCTACAATCTTGTACATGACTCCGATAAGTGAGATGGGTCTGAACTCTTCAATTCTTTGAGGGTTCTCAACTTTTGGAATCAGCACAATGAATGAAGAGTTTGATCCTCTGACCAGTCTACCCTGCTCATGGAATTCCTGGATAAACCCAACTATATCTGGTTTTAAATCCTCCCACATGGTCTTTATGAATTTGAAATTGAACCCATCTGGTCCTGGTGATTTTGTGGAGTCACAATCCCACACTGCACTCTTGATTTCCTCCTCGCTGAATGCTGCCATTAGGAGGTCATTGTCTGCCTGGGAGATTTGTTTGAATTTGATGCCGTCAAGTTTTGGTCTTTGCCATTTTTCTTCTGCAAACATCTCCTCAAAATATTGAGCAGCCTGCTCCTTTATTTCAGCCACTCCCACACACCTTTTGTCCTTAATCTGGATACTAGAAATTTCATTTCTCCTCCATCTGTTCTTCACACATCTATGAAAAAATTTGGTGTTGGCGTCTCCTTCTTTTAGCCACATCTTCCTTGACTTTTGCTGCCACATGCTTTCTTTGATTTTTAAATTCTCCCAAAGTTGAAGAAAACAACATTTTCTTCGATCCACCTCCTCTGTAGATAGTTGAGAATTCTCTCCTTTGCTGTCCAGTGCAGCTATTTCCATTTCAGCTTCATTAATTTTTTTGTCCACTTCTGTCATAGAGTTACCACTCCACTCCTTTAAAGCTTTCTTTGTTTTCTTCAATTTCTCTTTAAGTCTATATCCTTTCCAGCCTTTAATCTCAGCTGAATTCCACACATTTCGAATCATCTCCACACATCCCGGTTGTTCCAGCCAAGCATCGAAGAACTTGAATGGTTTGGGCCCCCAATCAACCTTCTCTTCCTTAAGTAAAATGGGGCAATGGTCAGACACTGTTCTCTTCAACCCCCATTGCCTTATGTCATTCCATTTCATGAGCCATTCTTCCGATAATAAAAATCTGTCAATCCTGCTCATGTATAGTCCATTGGAATTGTACCAGGTATACTTCCTCCCTGTCAATGGTAGATCCACTAATCTTGCATCGTGAATGAAATTGTTGAATTCCACCATTTCTTTGGACACCCCATTACTTCCTGCTCTCTCCTCCACACTTCTTACTGCGTTAAAATCTCCCCCCAAACACCAATTCCCTTTCCTGCTCCTAATCAAGTTCAATAATTCCTCCCATAATGCCCTTTTACCCGCCAAAATACAGGATGAATAAACATTAACTATATACACAGGAGTTTGTTCCTCACCCCATAATCCATACACTCCTATATAGTTTTCTCCCTCCAGCACCTCTTTTTTTTCAAACATTTTTGGGTTCCAAATACAAAGAAGACCTCCAGACATGCCATTTGATGGTTTGTATATCCATTCAAAATCTCCTGAACCCCATATTCTTTTGCATATACTCCTGTCAATAAACTCCTTTTTTGTTTCCTGAACAGATAAAAATTCCACCCGCTCCCTTCTAATTATCTCTCTAATTTGGCTTTTTTTCCCAACCCCACCAAGCCCCCTGATATTAAAGGAGAGCAATATCATCAACAGTATTTCTTACCTTCTTTGCGTCACCCGCTTCTCGGTTCACCATGCTTGCCTTTGATTGCCTATCTCTGCTCTCCATTTCTTCTATACGACTCATAATCTCTTCCTCATTCTCGGCCGAGACCCCTATTTGCTTTGCCAGCTCCCATATCTCCTTTGCAAGTTGATTTCTCATTTGCTTCTGCAGTAATCTGTTGCAATTCTGGATCCCACTATCTCCAATTGAGTCATCTGCTATTTCGTCATTTGGGCTTGCAATAAACTCCGGTTCTGTTCTCCCCTCTTTGTGCTTCTTGCTGATTTTTCCTCTACCTCTTGCCCTCAGTCTTCCTCTGTCGGCATCTGCTGATTTTTGGTACACCGTGCAACACAGACTGATTTTCTTCTTTTTTTTCTTTGGTTTTGCCTCCATTCGGTCCTTTAACCATTTCTGTAGCCGAGCCTCATCGGTCTCATGCCCTTTCCAGAATAGATCTACTTCTTCACCATCGCTGCTTCCGGTCTTCGTCAAACTGAATCTAGAGAAATCTTTGCTCTTTCCATGGCTTGGACTACTTTCTGGTCTTAAATTGATCGGTTGGCCCATGTTTGTTGACTGCTCATACTCTGGGCTTTCTCCTATTATGATGGGCTTCCCCTGCTGCTTAGAGTTGATCCGCTCACACTGGCCCATTTGAGTTTCTTTTACTTTTTCAGCCACGTCTAACTTTGCAGCTTTCCCATGCTCCTGTATCAACCTCTCTGTCCCTACGCTACCCTCCTCTTCATTCAAAATTTGAAATTGGTCAATGCTATCATTTCCTTCTTGTGCTGTCATTTCCTTCTTCTGATTCTCTTTATTTTGAATTTTACCGTTGCTCATCACCCCCCCGTTTGCCACGTCATTAACTTCATTTTCTGATTCACCATCTTCTTCGCTCGCCTGATCATCCTCTGCTATAGCTTCCTGGACATTTTCTTCCTCCTCACTATCTAAAGACCATGACTCATGCTCTTCGGAATCACTCTGGAAGTTAGGCAAGAAGTCTTCTTTCAAGGAGAAAAAATTATTTGTGAATTCTTCCTCAGTGAACTTGATGTTGTACAGAGACCCATTAATTTTAACTTGTCTCATAACTGATATGGAGTTCATGATCGGAGTCGAGATCAAGAATCTCGCAATATCAAACCTTCTTTTTTTGCTTGTGCTGTCATCCAAGCAAATAAATTTCCCCCATGAGCAGCTCATTTTCTCAAAAAAATCTGTTTCCCATGCGTTGAGTGGAACCCCCTGGCATCTAATCCATGCATATCTCTCTGTAGCAACCATGTCTGGAGTCCACAGTTTAACTCCTTCGAACCATTGTGCTAGCCACTCTGAAGCCATCTCCACCAAGTCCTTCAACTCATCTTTGTCAACACTGTCCAGTAAAACCATTTTGCCTCCCATTGCTCGGATGCGGCACCAAAAGTATCCTTCCAAATAGAATTTTTCCTGCAAGTTCCGTACCATTTCAACGGAGTGTGTGATCCCCACATAGCAACCTTCTAGCCATTTTTCGTCTTCTAAGTTGGTATTGTATTCTATTCCCGACCATTTTTCTCCCACTCCCTTTTCTTTCCAGATTTTTCTGTTGTCGTTGATGCCATCCATGTGAGAATTTCTATTTTTGTTCATCCTCGGCCAGCTATGGTTGTTCTGTAGCTGCTTTCCTGTCTTATCTTCTTTCTTTTCTTCTTGATAACCCTTTACTACTTCCGCATAGCTTCTATTCTGAGTTCTTATGTGTGCTCCTTGATTGGCTCTGTATTCCCCTCCTTGTTTCTGATTCTGAGAGCTTTCATAACGTGGGTAGTTCACCCATAATTTTCTGTCTCCTACCCAAATTTGGTCCAGTTGTCTTTCCAAATCCCTCTTGTCCTTCACGTCCAAGAACCTTACAAAGCCGAACCTTCCTCCGTTTCTGCTTCTCCTATTTGGACAGTATATGTCAAAAACTCTTCCAAATTTCAGAAAAATTCTCCACATATCTGCGTAACACCAATCATCTGGGAAATTTGTGAAGAAGTAAGGTGTGGCTTGTTTGTACAAGCCCCTGTCATATGCTCCTCCTATCCTCTGCTTCTGATGTTGATCCTGGCCACAATCTGTTCTCCTCTGTTTCACTGATTCAGTCCATCTCTGTTGAAATCTTCCGCTGGATCTTGCATGCTCAATACTCTGTACCGTCCTTCTTTCCCGGCCCCGACGATCACCACCCCTCTCTCTCGCTCTACCTCTCTCTCTCATCTCTCTCAGTTTCATGCAAATTGATATCCACCCTTGTAAACTTAGTCAAAAAAAAAAAAGATTTCAACTTTTCAACCATTGAAATTTATTAACTTTCTATTAAAATGATAATAAAATATTTACTGGACCAATCCTTAAAAATAAAAAAGTGATTGTTTAGTTTCAAAATTTTAAAAATTAAAAAACTAGTAAACTAAAAAAAATTAATGGATG